TGGACCTTTATTTAACTTATTTATATGTGGTGCTGAGACTCGAACCCAGTGCCTCACACATTCTAGGCAAGTGCTCTAGCACTGAGCCACAACCCTAGCCCCTCCATAATATAAAGTTTTAAAAAATAATTTAAAAAAAGTTCAAGGAGGATCCCCACTTCCTCTCATGATTCTGACTGCCTTTATAGGTTGATACCCCAGCTTCACCTTGAATGGGGATGGAAAGGAAGAGTAAGGAAGGAGTGCACTTTGGATTCTGTTTTTCCTTTCTTTTTTAAAAAAATATCTTTATTTTTGTTTTTATTTTTATGTGGTGCTGAGGATCAAACCCAATGTCTCACATGTGCAAGGCAAGCATGCTGCCACTGAGCCACAACCCCGCCCTGGATTCTGGTTTTCAACAGGTGAAAAAATATTAAAGGAGAAATAGAAATCAGATTTAGAGGTCATCTTTTTCTCCTTTCTTTCATTTCCTATCTCAAATACAATTAACCAGCAAGTCTTGTTTTTTTTTTTTTTCCTTAAAAATATATTCAGAATCTGATCCCTTTTTACAATTCCAGTGCTACCAATCTGGACAAACAAGCCTTTCTCAACCCCTGCCCAGATTACTGTAGCCTCCTATCTCCTTTCATCCTTGCTATCCCAGTCTATTAACACAGCATCCAGGGATCCTGATAAAATCTATTTCTGTTGGCATCACTATTCTGTTCAAAACCCCCAATACTAATCTCACACAAACTATGAGGAAACAAAAGATGAGGGATATTTCCCCATTTCTTCTATCATTTATTTATTTATTGGTACCAGGGATTGAAACCAGGGGTGCTTACCCACTGAGCCACATACCAGCCCATTAATTTATTTTCATTTTTGAGATAGGATCTCTCTAAATTGCTGAGACTGGCTTTGAACTTTCAGTCCTCCTGCCTTAGCCTCCCAAGCTGCTGGATTTACAGGCATGGGTCACCATGCCCAGCCCCCCACTTATTTTTTGAAACCAGCATTACTCTGATATCTAAATCGATAGGACACTTTAAAGAAAACTACAGACCATTATCTCTCATGGACAAAGACACAAAATTCCTTTAAAAAAAGAGACACTATATCCAGCAATATGCAAAAGAGTAGCATATCATGATCTTTTTAGATTTATCCCAGGGATTTGAAGTTGGTTTAAGATAAGAAAACAAATCTAAGTAATTCAACATATCAACAAATCAAGAAGAAAGGTATGCAACAAGACAAAAATTCATTATCCATTTAGGATAATCTCACCACAGTAATTAGCTTCATAAACAGCATCTATGAAAATCCTACAGTTAACATCCTTCATGGTAGATATTGAAATGTTTTTTTCTGCAATTAAGAATGAAACAACCATGTCAACTTTAACCACTATCATTCAACATTTACTGGAGATGCTGGCTAGTGCAATAAGGAAAGCAAAAGAAAAACCAGTTTGGAACTGAGCACAGTGGAGCATCCCTGTAAATCCAGTGCATATGGGAGACAAAGGCAGGAGGATCACAGGTTCCAGGCCAGCCTCAGCAACTCAGCAAGGCTCTAAGCAACTTAGCAAGACTGTCTCAAAATAAAAAATAAAAGGGTGGAGATGTTGCTCAGTGATAGAACACCTCTGGATTTAACTCCCACTACAAAAAAAAAAAAAAAAAATATATATATATATATATATATATATATATATATATATATATATATTAGTTTGGAAAGTAGAACAGTCTTTATTAACATAGGGGAAGTGAATTTTTAAAAAATATGTTACCTGGGCTGGGGCTATAGCTCAGTTGATGAGTGCTTGTCTTGAATGCACAAGGCCTTGGCTGGGTTCTAATCCCCAGCAACACACATGCACAATTATGTTGCCTTAGTGTGGGAAGCCGTTCTCGCATGTGATTGAGCTACCTCCCTGGCTGGGTGTGAGGCGCTTTCGACAAGCTGTGTCAGAGCCTTCCCCACCCTTCCCCAGGTGCAAGGGCTTGTCCATGTGGGGGTGTGACTGACCACTGACCTGAAAACCAATCACTGACCCTGACCTTGGAATGTTGTCCCCCTTGACATTCATTGGATGGAATTTTCCCCTGAATTTTTTGTTCCCCAGTAAAAGCTCACTCTCTGGCGTGCTTCTCTCTCTCTTGCTGGTCTCTTGTGTAAACCTCGCTACCGCATCAGGTGGCTAGAGGCAGGAGCTGGGAGGAGCCATCTCTGAGCTGGGCAAGAAAAAGGTAATTTGAGAGTTATGTGTCTTTAATTTGAACTCACTAGTTAATTTCTATGTTTCGAACCTTGTATGAAGCTAGCGTGCTGGTCACGCAATTGACCTTAGCATACATTTTGAATATAAATTTAACTTTCTCAAAGAAGAAGCAGGATTTAGTTGCTCTTGATATAATTTCTATTTCTATACCTCCTCCCAGTTTCTTGATGTAGTCTATCCAGATATCTATTTTATACATTTGCCTCCTGGTGACATTTCTCAATGGGACATCTAGGTACAGCCTACTTGACTGTCTCCAATGACTCTCACAGTAATATAACTTCCTGAAGTTCATTCATGCCTGCTTACTTTATTTATTTATTTATGGGTGCCGGGGAATGAACTCAGGGACACTTGACCACTGAGCTACATCCCCAGCCCTATTCTGTATTTTATTTACAGATAGCGTCTCAATGAGTTGCTTGGTACCTCACTAAGTTGCTGAGGCTGACTTTGAACTCTCGATCTTCCTGCCTCAGCCTCCCAAGCTGCTGGTATTAGAGGCGTGTGCCACAGCACCCAGCATGCCTTCTTACTTTAAACCTACCAATTAGCATCCCTGTACGAAAGCTGCCTTGAACCCCAATAATAGCTTTGGTCCGTGGGTCCCTCTTTTCTCTTCCTCCTCCACTGACCCACTTCTGTATGCTCTCAGGCATGCCCTGGTCTCCCTGGGCTTGTGAGTAATAGAATCTTTTTTTTTTTTTCCTTTAAAAATGTCTTTAGTTGTAGATGGACACAATACCTTTATTTTATTTATTTTTATGTGGTGCTGAGGATTGAACTCAGTGTCTAACATGTGTTAGGCAAGTGCTCTACCACCAGTCCAGTAATACAATCTTTATTTCCATCCTGTATCTCTCTTAACCATTAAATCCCCATCTTAAAGAGCCTAAATTAAAACTATATGAGGGGCTGATGGTTGTGGCTCAGTGGCAGAGCGTTTGCTTAACATGTGTGAGGTACTTGGTTTGACCCCCGGCACCACACACACACAAAAAAGGTATTGTGTCCATTTACAACTAATATATATATATATATATATATATATATATATAAAATATATAATAAAAACATATATAATAACATATATATGTTATATATATGTGTATATATATGGTCTAACACAATTTGGGCTGTGGCTATAGCTCAGCGGTAGAGCGCTTGCCTAGCATGTGTGAGGCACTGGGTTAAACCCTCAGCACCACATAAAAATCAATAAATAAGTTATTTTAAGAAAATTCACAACTGAATTTAGTTATCACAGGAAACAAGTTAATTAGTGCAAATCAACTTTACTTCTACATTTGGGCAAAAAGCACTTGAGAAAAACAAACACCTCTTTGAAAACAAAATTTCAAATAGTTACTTAAAAGGCCTTCAAGATAGTTACCACATTGTTATAGGGCTGTACACTAGTGAAAAAACACTAAACTGTTTGTTCAGGGGTATTTGCTGCTACAGCCTAGTCAATAACACGGAGACTGCCAAACACAAGAAGAATAAACACATTTTGTTACGGCTACTTAACCTCACACTGGGAAAACTACCTTCGTGGCCATGGTATCCATACTCCCCTGCCAGGTAAGTATGAGTTGGGATAGTTGCCAGGCATCACACCCTCAGACTCCAGACACTTTTCGCAAAGGGTCACTATCTTTGTGCAAACTCTAGCCCATCACTTTCAATATAACGACTTCTCCAAATTGTAGGAACCAAACAATAACAGTTTGATTACTATATTTATTTACAAAAAACTCAAAAATATATATAGATGAACAAGTCCAGAAGGCACTGCCGTCATCTGCATATACCAAGCCCCTTTTGATGACGTCAAAAACTTCTGACAAATCTGAGGCTTTTGTTGATGTGGTAGGCAAAATGACAGCCCACAAAAATGTCCAAAACCTAATCCCTGGAACCTGTAAATGTTACTTTCCACCTAAAGGGTACTGCTGATGTAAGGATTTGAGATACAGAGATTATCAGGTGTGCCTAAAATAATCACGTAATTTGCATAAAGATGTAAGAGCAGTGGAGCATGCCTGTAATCCTGGGCGCTCAGGAGGATGAGGCAGGAGGATTGCAAATTCAAGGCCAGTCTGGCAGTTTAGTAAGAATGTATCACAAAACAAAACAACAAAAAAGTGGGCTGAGGATTTAGCTCAATTTTAGGGTGTTTTGTTTTGCTTTATTTTTCTCCAGTACAGAAAATTGAACTCAGGGTTCAGTATTGCAAAAGAAAAACAATGCTGAATTGTGGAGCAGTTTGGAAATTGGGATGAAGGTAGCACAAAACTAAGAAATGTAGCATGTGCCTTGCCTCAGCAACAGCAAGGTGCTAAGCAACTCAGTGAGACCATGTCTCCAAATAAAATACAAAATAGGGGGCTGGGGCTGTAGCTCAGTGGTAGAGCGCCTGCCCCTCACATATGAGGCCCTAGGTTCCATCCTCAGCACCACACAAAAATGACTAAAATAAAGGTATTGTGTCTGTCTACAACTACAAAAAAATAATAATTATTATTCATGCTATCCCCATATTCCTGCTACTTCACAAACTATAACTCCAGGAGAAAATAGCTGTATTAAATTAACCTAAACCACTGCTAATAACAAGAAAAATTAATACAAACACATAAAAAACTGTAAGTGTTCATAAATACTATGTCTGACCTGAAAAAGGCTGCAATCAGATATTTATTATTTGAACAAATCAAGTCAGGGGAAAGTATGAAAGCAATCCCCCACTACCACAAATTATGCAGTTGAGTTTCTCACATTTGGGGAAATCACAGGAGTTAGCACATCCAAAGTGCAATGGATGAGCCTCACGTGGGAAAACCACCTTTGTGATCATGGTATTGAAGCCAGAATTAGACAGGCAGTCAGTGTAGATAGGTAAATCGAGTCAGGTTGGATCAAGGAGGCCAATTTTGAGTGAGTCTGGGAAGTTGGAGATAAGGGACCCCTGAGGGATCTTATCAAGAACCTGCTCCTGCTCCAACCTGTTGCCAAAGTAACCTGTCTCAGGAATTTCCCTCCCTACAGGGAGATATAGGTTGTTAATGTGTCCTTGGCTACTTCACCCTGCCCTTCCCCCTTTAACCCACCTGTTTCCCACCTTTTGGCCTTCCCACAGAGCATTACTGGGCCTAGTCACCTATGCAGGAAGGAGAAAGGGGGAAAAGCAGGAGAACAAAGGAATCCTAGGACATATAAAAAGGGCAGAATACCTCACTTCTGGGGATACCAGGATACTAGCTATGCCCCCTCTTCTTCCTCCCTGGAGAAGTCTATACTACCCCTTTTTAAATAAACCCGGTTTTTATGCTTGCTTCGGCGTGCTTCTCTACTGTTCAAACTTCAACATTTGGGGAAGCAGGACTTGTCACCAGTAACCTGCGGCATCAGCATCTCATCTGCCAGATAAGAAAGAGGCCTGACAATCCCATAATTCCAAAATGAAAAGATTCCAAAATGGAGTAACCACGCAGCAAATATTGTGCATCTGGATACGGCAACATCTTGGAAAATACAGGCCTGTGATAAGAATGACCAGCAGTCATTGTGCTTATTTACATAATCCATACCCCTTTCACTGATCTCATTCAGCACAACTTTTGTAGTATGCTTGGTAATGCTACTGAAATAAAATGTAAAGGTAAATATACTCTACAGATCAAAAGCTAAACAACATACACTAGCTCCTGTCCTCAAAGGTTATGATGCTGGTTACTGTGATTTGTGGTACAGTTATGTAACCTGAATGAGCAGGTCTGAAAAGATGAAATTTGGTTAAACAACATTTGAAGGACTTGGGGTATAGTTTATTGGTAAAGTGCTTGACTAGCCCATCTGAGGCCCTGGGTTAAATTCCCAACCCTATGAGGGAAAAATAAAAGTAGAAAGTTAAAAAAAAATACATTAGAAAACCCAGTGAACATATTGTAAAAACTTGGTTTAGTCCAAAGCACCAAGCATAAGTGCAAAATGCTTTCTTTCAAACATACAGCAAATCATCATTGTTACTTGAAAGACCCGTTATACAAGTGATAATATTTTTAGGAAGTTTTTTTTTAATGGCAGAGTGGCCCTTTTTAAAAAAATATACTTTTGTTTATTTTTATGTGGTGCTGAAGATTGAACCCATTGCCTCATATATGCTAGGCAAGCACTGTACCACTGAGCTACAACCCCAGCCCACAAATGCTAATTTTGAAAAGAAGTAAACTAGGAAAATGTTCCTAGTCCTTAATTGTAAATCTGGAGTGTGATAGATGACCCTCACCTCCATGATCACTGTCTTCCCTCTCAAGCAGGAATAAGTTATATTTCCATGTATCCTTAAATTCTCTCTTACTTAATCCCACAGGTACAGGGTCAACTATCTGTTTTTCCACAGGTTTTTCTTAAATCTAGAACTGGACCACTGGAGAATCCATTCTACAAGAAACTCCTGAACTCTATTAGAATCCTGTTAGATTCCTTTAAAAAAAAAAAGCAAATCCTGTCTCAGGCAATAGTGAATAATTAATGTATTCAACATCCACATAATAAATAGTATCACTCAATGTTTTCCTTTCTTCCTCACTGTACGCTAGAATTAGAGTGTTCAAGTTTAATAGTGTTCTTCAAGTGTCTCCCCAAGATCATATTTGAACCACCCTATTTCCCAAGTCTTTTTTTTGGCTTGCCTCAAATTTGCTATCCTTCTGCTTCAGGCTCCAGATTGCTTAGATGAAAGGCTGTGTCACCATACCTGATTTTGAAGCTTTTTTGCTTTGCAGAAGAATTCTTCTGATATTATCTCCTCTGCCAAAATAAATTATCCAGAGTTTCATATCTTCAAAGCAGGAGGAAATAATACTGTTTTAAAAATCTTATGGGGTACTGGGTTCGATCCTCACCACCACATTTAAAAATAATTAAAATAAAGGTATTGGGTCCATCTACTCTGTGTGTGTGTGTGTGTGTGTGTGTGTGTGTGTGTATGTATATATTTCTTGTGGTGCTGGGGATTAAACCCAGGGCCTTATGCATGTGAGGCAAGCACTCTACTAACTGAGCTATATCCCCAGCCCTGTAACTAAAAATATTTTTTAAAAATTTTATTGAAGATTAATAAGCAGCCAGGCCCAGTATCACAATTTATAATCCCAGACACTCAGGAGGCTGAGGCAGGAGGATTTCGAGTTCAAAGCCAACCTCAGCAGTTTAGTAAGGCCCTAAGCAACTCAATGAGACTCTCTCTCTAAATAAAATATATATATAAAAAAAATGGCTGGAGATGTGGCTCAGTGGTTAAGTGCCTCTGGGTTTAATTCCTGGTACAAAAAAAGAAAAAAAAATAGCTGAAGCTGGGGGAATTGGCACATGTCTGTAATCCTAGCAACTCTGGAGGCTGATGAAGGAGGATCACAAGTTTGAGGCCATCCTCAGCAATTTAGCAAGATCCTAAGAAAATTAATGAGACCATCTCAATATAAAAAATAAAAGGGGATCTGGGCGCAGCGGCCCAGGAGGCTGACACAGGAGAATCGTGAGTTCAAAGCCAGTCTCAGCAATGGCAAGGTGCTAAGCAACTCAATGAGACCCTATCTCTAAATAAAATACAATATAGGGCTGGGGATGTGGCTCAGTGGTCAAGTGCTCGGAGTTCAATCCCTGATACTAAAAAAATATAATAATAAAAAGGGTTGGGGTGTAGCTCAATGGTAGAGTACCTCTGGGTTCAATCCAGCACCAACAAAACAAAACAAACAAAAAATTTGCCCAAAGCAGACATAATCCCATAGATCAATCTACTTATGAACAAAAAAACAAAACTTTTTTTTTTTTTTTGCAGAACCTGGGATAGAATACAGCGGTAGTCTACCATTGAGCTACATCCTCAGTCTTTTTTGTTTCATTTTTGAGATAGGTTCTTACAGGGTTCCCAAGGTGGCTTCAAACTTGCAATCCTTATCTTCTACCTCTGTCTCCTGAGAAGATGGAATTGCAGGCACAACCACTGTGCCTGGCCATGCAGAACTATTTTAACTATATGTATAACATCTTTGTAAACTGAATCTAGCAGGGTATTAAAAACAGATGACTGGGGCTGGGGATGTGGCTCAAGCGGTAGCGCTCTCAGCTGGCATGCCTGGGGCTCTAGGTTTGATCCTCAGCACCACATAAAATAAAAATAAAGATGTTGTGTCCACCGAAAAAAGAAGGCTTTCTTTAAAACAACAAACAAACAAACAAACAAAACCCCCAGATGACTAAAGAGGTTTTATATCAGGACTGTTAAGACCCAAGTACATAAAGTATATGATAAAGTGGCATTTCATATGGATGGGGAAAGGATTGACTACTTCATAAGGACTGCTAAATTAGCTCACCACTGTAAAGAAAGAAAAAACAATTCCTTCCTACCTTTTACTGGAGGTCGAGGATGGGGACTGAACCTAAGGCCTTACTCATGGTGTAATCTATCTATATATATATGATTTAACCCAGGGTGCTTTACCACTGAGCTACATACCTAGTACTTTTTGTTTTTTATTTTGAAACAGGGTCTAAGTTGCTAAGCCTGTCCTTGAATTTGTGATCCTTTTGCCTCAGCCTCCTGAGTTACTGAGATTACAGGTGTGCAACACAATACCCACCTATTCCTTTTTTAAAATCAAATTAAAATATTCAAATGTAAATTTAAGTCATATGCTAAAAAATTATGCTTATAATTTCTTTCTTTTTATTTTTTTTAGTGCTGGAGATTGAAACTGGGGCCTCAAGCATGCTATCACTAAGATCATTCCCCAGTCCTTTATATTTTTTAGTTTGGGAGACAGGGTCTCACTAAGTTACCCAGGCTAACCTCAAACTTGTGATCCTCCTGTCTCAGCCTCCAGAGTAGCTGAGATTACAGATGTGTACCATTGGGTATGGCCATGTTTCTAATTTTGAAGAGACTTTCTAAGCATGTTACCAAAATCAAGATTAAATACAAAATTTGACTAGTTTACATACATAAAATCTCTCTAAAGTAAAAAACAAAACAAAAAAACCTCATAAAGCAAAATTTAAATACACATGGCAAAGTGGGAAGATATTTGCAACATATAGATTAAGCAAAAGACTGTATTTGAATAAGCATAAGGATTAAGAATCATCAGAACCATCGTTTTTTTGTTTGTTTGTATCAGGATGGAACCCTGTGGTACTTAACCACTGAGCAATATCCCAAGCTTTCTTTCTTTTTTCTTTGAGAGAGAGATCTTACTATGCTGCCCAGGCTGGTTTCAAACTCCTGAGCTCAAGTCATCTTCCCAAGTAGCTGGGACTACAGCTACTACAGAATGATGATAAAAATGGTAATTATTATAGGCAAGTCGAGGCAGGGTTGGAAAATACTAATAGCAGCTAAGTGTAGCTTCACATGGAGTCCACTAGTTTCTTTTTTCCTTTTCTTTTCTTGGTAGTATTGGGAATTGAACCCAGAGCCTTGTACATGCAAGGCAAGTATTCTACCACTGAGCTATATATCCCTAGCACTTGACTAGTTTCTTAACTCTCCCTGCAGACGAAACGAAATTCTAAACATGACCAATTCCACTGTGTTTCACCAAACTGAAGAGTTACTGCTGACTAAGGTAACACTGTCTTCTTCACCCAAGAACCTGATTGCTTTACAAAAATAAGTATGAATTCTCAAGAGGACAATATTTAGATAATGCCACTGAGTACCAGATGTAAATCATAAGTTAATCAGTGAGACACTGTCTCTAAATCAAATATAAAATAGGGCTGGGGAATGTGGCTCAGTGGTCGAGTGTTCCGGAGTTCAATTCCTTTGCCCCTGCCACCCCCCTCCAAAAAAAAAAAAAAAAAAAAAA